GTCCTGTGTCAAACTTGTTTAGATTGCGTCGAATTTCGTGTTCAGAAAAGCATCATTCGTTCCAAAAATCGGGGGAGGGGGTTGCCGATTATCAAAACTCAAAGAAGGAGGAGAGCCCAGCGTTAGCTGGGCGGTCCGACTGTCCCTACATACAAAGCGATAGTTTTGTGTCTGTTTGTATGCCCGTTTGTGCGTCCTTCCGAAAACCACGTAGGCACGATGAAGAATGTGAATGTCACGTGAGTGCGGTGAGGAAACAGTTATGAAATGGGAAGTAAACCGATACTACTATCTTGGTCCTACAACAAGTCGTAGGTATGCGGAAGTGGGCATGTGGTGCACGCATTGGCGTGCATAGCCCAACTGCTTGCTAGATAATAGTGAGAATAGAGAATAATATGGAGGTTGTAGCAGCACGAAGTGTTTGCTGCATGCATTCTCGACCCATGGCGATAGTAGACTACTTCGGCATTTCGCGGGGGACGGTGCGAACGTGCGTCCGAGGACGCGCGCGGCAATTTGCGAGGCGAAGGTCTGAAGATTTGTATGACTCTGGCGCCAATTTTCGGGACACAAACTCAGAGTAGAGTAGTTTATTAGGGTCGGTAGATCCTTCTAATCTATTCTACTTCGAATTTTGGCCCCAATGATAGGCGCTAAAGTCGTTCGAATAGTGACGAACTTCGCCGCGCAATTTGCCGCGCGCATCCTCGAGCGCACGTTTGTACACATACCCGCATTTCTCGCTTACTGTAGCCAGCTCTTCATGTAAACATATACGACTGAATCTCGTCCAGGAACACCTTTTATGGCTTTTTTCGAAAATCTCTAATAGCACCTTTTTTTNTTTTTTTATAGCTTATTTTTATGAAGCTCGCCTTTTTTGTTCTTTTTGCTACCTTCGCGTTTTCTGAACCATCACTTCTACTACTTCCTTCCCACAAAGTTTAGTCGAACCAAGTTGAAGAACTTCTCAACAGATTTCCCAAAGTACAATTCAAAAAGACACACCTCACCACAGATAACTGTGAAAGTATATGTTCATAGCATCCTTACCACATATAAAGCGCTCGCGTATGTTGTCTGTCTTTCGCACTGAAATTCATAACTCTTGTCTCCATGGACCTAGAGCATTTAAATTGAACAGGATTATTAAGGGCAGGATAGGAACATTTATGGTGGATGGAAGGACCGAGCCCCACCCATGAGAGGTGGGGTGTGCGAGAGAAGTTTCAATTTGACTCTAGGGCGTTCGAACTTGGAAGACAGACAAGCGGCAAAATGGGAACACTTATGGTGGGTAGTAGGGCCGGAATATGCCCACAGTGGGCGGGGTTCCCGTCTGAGAAAAATCCATAACTCCTGATCCCCTGAACCTGGAGAGCAAATTCAATAGTAGTAGAGTGGACAGGATGGGAACACTGACGATAGAAGAGGGCTTGAAGAACAAGGTCCAATCACCAATTCAATCCTAACGCCTCTGTTATTTACGTTCCAGCTTTGATTCTTTGATATGTTTCATTCGACAAGAAGGGCAAGTGCAGTGATAGGTTAGAGATAAAAGAGATAAAGAGAAAGAGAAAATAGGCGATAAAATTTAGTTCACCTCCTGCTTACGACCGCTACCCAGCAAAGTTTGCGATTCAATGGAGAATCACGGTTGCCCTCTGCTTCGATATCATTCTTGGCAAAAATTGTCCGACCCCTAATCAGCTTGGATTCTCATTTAATGATGTTACCGTAGAGAAAAGGAGCTACATTCAGGGGGACATTTGATAATGGTATTATTATGAGTCGACAAAATTTATGAGTACCATTCAAGACTTTCGTTGCCCACCAGTTGAACCTTCAATGACTCATTGTTTTTAAGATGAGCAGCGGATTGAGACTTCTAATCAAAGGCATAGGCATCGGCTCATTTTGAATATAGTTTGCATGCCTTACTGCTTCTCTAACAAATTTTGTGTTCCGACAAGTGTCATTTGTCCCGAAGAAGAAGCGTGCTATTCGCAGATTATCACAACTCCCTCATAGGAAGGAGGGAAGCTTGGCGTTAGCCGGGCGACCCGACTGGTAAAGATATCTAAGCGATTCGCATAAGCACTTTCGTTTTTCGATTCGGCCTACTCGTTTCGCTGACCCTCACTCCCGATAAACCGAGATTCTTCCAGGGAATAGTAGCAGAGACCTTCTGCACATAAAATTATGCTGCATAGCCCACAGGATTAAGGTTTGGGAAGGCAAACGTCAGGTGGGGCCAAAGTCTCGGCAGCAGTGCTTACCAATTTAGGGCCTATGGGCTTGCGCGATGCCATGTTATATGTCCGAGAATGTTGAGAAGGTCTTTAGGAGTTATTATGTATTATAGTAGATGGAAAGCGCACTATGTTACATACGATTTAGAACGTGGCATATCGACCTATATTTTGGGCAAACTCTCGCATATGAATACTCCCATCGTGCGATACAAGTCCCACGTCACCATTCAACGCGACTAGAATTTCCCGTCGTACCAGACAGTCACATAGAGATTCCATGGTACGATGGAATACTGTTTTCTATTTGATTGCTAATAAGATCGTGGGCGAAAACGAAATGTCACAAAACTAAACGATATTTCAGAATACGAAATGCAACCAACCACATAGAATATAAGCAACCGTCGCCCCAGTACCACGAATTCTCCTTCCTGTTCTATTCGTGAACTGGCTTTTTATTGAAGTCGCTCCCTTTTGTTTACAGCTGGGTAAGCCACTTGCAATCTTTCCTCGGGCCATAACAAAATGCTTGGCACAGCAATTTTTTCAATTAAAAGCCTATAAATTTTGTGCGCTACTACGAAGATATAGAAAAGTGAGCAGTCGAGGGACAGGGTGTATCGTGTTGGAACTCGCTGAAGATATTTCGAAAGAGGATCCCGATAAAAGGGAAATGCCACGATATGATGAGTTTACCGAGACAAGAGAGCATCGTTCGCTGCACACCGTTTTCAATAATGGCGAAGAACTGTTCCTTGGAAAGCAGGATGGGCATGCATTCAGCTGCATTCATGCATTTAACGCGCCGTGGATGCTCGGAACTTCCCCATACATGCAAATACAGAGGGGCTCCACAGTCCCGAGCTCCGAAAAAAGAATAGGAATGCCGTAGCTTACTGCAACGAACCGAAGGTAAGGTAAGGTGAGTCGGACACGTCATAAGCGCTTGTGATAACAGATGGATCAGAGCGGCTATTGACTGGATCTTTCAGGCCGTCAAGCGAGCACTAAGACGGCAGCCAGCACGGTTATTAGACTTCATATGTATTAACAGCTCGCCCGGAACGCATGCTATGCATCGTGTTCCTCGAGCGACTACGATCTACTGGGCTGTTTCGGCTCACGACAGGGACGAGCAAACACTCTTCGTACTGGCTCCCGCTAAAGGCAATCGGTGAACATCGGGACGACAGGTGGTACGGATAAAGTCCCTTCAATTGACTTTTCGATGTTTCTTTTCGTGAATGCAAATTAATCGACAGAAGAAGAGAAATGTTTTCGTGTTCTCGCTTAGATGTGGCATTTTTATGTTGGATGTTCGTTCAGGTATGCATCTTTTCAATCGGTTTGCACTTTGAACATTTCCTATTGGAAGGAACTCTTTCAAAAGAACTTCATGGGATTCGTCATACTAAAAAAAGCGGTCGTTTCTTCTGACACGCTTTACACATACCCATTTTCGAGGACCAGTTGCAGAGCCATTATGGAAACCTATAAATTACAGGGATGTGTATGCGTCGTCTTGAAGTGTTCTCATTTCCTGACGTCTATGCTTTTTCGCTCATTTTGATTTCCTTCAAAGGTTTTCACGGTTTCAGGCGTTACCTGCGGAAGACATATTCATTCTAAATGTTAGACGGAAGTAGGGTAATGCTAAATGCCGCACTGCCATACGCATAGCTCGGGGATCAAGTTCCACAAGTACTCGCTTGTGTCAACTGAACTTCATATTTCAAGCTCAATTAACTCGCACTAATCTCAACTTGGAGATAGAAAACAAT